GAACTCAATCAAGAACTTGCAAACATTTCCACCAAAGTAGCACCAACTGCTAAAGAGGGCAAAGATAAAGAGGTATAGGAACAGAGCATTAATTAAAAACTCGTGTTCTTCCTCTGAAAAGTCATGCCAGTTTTGCATTCTGTGCAATTATATATCAATGTTTATATTCAGATTTCAAATGGAGTTCTCCTCCAAAACAGCCTTCATATAAAATTGATCTACAGAGGTGCACTGAGTATATGTACCTTAGCACACGCCATGCAAGCTTGGGTGTCTGTTACAGGCAGCCCCCCAGGAGAACCCCTGTAACTGCACCTCCTGCTCTTCAGACCCTTTTGCAATCCCTCCTCTTGACTGTGGGCTGGATATAGTGACTTGCTTCTAGAAAGGAGAATGAGACAGGGGAAATGGTGTGTCACTTCCAGGACTGGGTAACAAAAAGGATATGGCTTGATTGGAAGGATTCTGTCTTGCTCACCTGCTTTAAGGGGAGCCAGTTGCCATGTTGGGAACTGCCTATGGGAAGAGAAAGGAACTGAGGCTCCCAAGCCAAGAACCCACAGGGAACTGGATCCTGCCAATGATGTGACTGAGTGAGGTGGTGGGTCCTCCCCAGCAGAGCCTTCAGATGAGACTGCAACCTCAGGGTAGACCTGGAGGCACCCATCTAAGCTGTTCCCAGATGCCTGACTCACAGAAACTGTGAGATAATCAATGTTTCTTGTTTTAAAGTGCTAAATTTGGGGTAATTTGTTAAGTAGCAATAGATAAGGAAGATAGCACCCTAATCTGAGAGGTCCAGTTGTGGATTATTTTAAAACCTCTTACCAATGCCACCATTTTTCTTGAGGCTAGACAACAGAGCAGAAGAGATTTGCTATCAGGAACTCTTGAAAGGAACCCTTGTCCCCTGGAATGTAGAGATGCTTGCTAGCTTGGGAACATACACCTTGCATGCTCTGATCACCCAAAGATGACCATGGATATAATATCAGTGCAGCTCAAAATCAACATGATGCATTTGACAGCAGTAGATTGGTGAAAAATGAGCCAGAGACTGAAGCACAAGTGGAAGATGACAGACTCCTACCTACCCAGCCATTCTCTACTATCAGTCACGCCACCCCCAGACCCTATCCAGATCTAGTGATACAGATGACAACTCCATGTTCACTGAGAAGTTCTAAAGTCAGACCTTCTCCTTCTGGAAACCTTTCCCAATGTCCCCAGTTCTTTCCATTCCCCCACCCTGTCATCTAAGCCCCTGGAAAGCTGAGTCTTTCACTTATTTACCTTGAGTTCCCAAGCACCTAACATGACACTGGAAACATATCTGGCGATCAATAGATGTGTGTTGTAAACAATATCTTTCTAATGTGTATTTCACTTTTATGTATGTCTTTCTCTCCAACTAGACTATGAGCTTCTCAAGGTTAGGACTACAACTAATTTACTGTGATGTCCTAAAGACCCTGAGTTTCACTGATTTCCAGACAAGCACGGGGATCAGGGTACAGAGCAAACACGCGCTCTGTGAACCAGGAGTAAACATCTGGCAGCAGTCTACCCAGGACTCATGGGGCTCTCCATCCATTGGCCATCAGACCCCTTCTACCACACAGGAGCCCAATGAGAGAGAACATGAGAACCCCTGACCACCCTAGGGCTCTGCCCAAGATAGAGTAAAAGTGTATCCATTGTGCTGAGGTCCGAAATAGAAGAATGTGGAATGAGGAGGAAGGAAGGAAGACAGAGAGAGAGAAAGCTTCACCTTCTACTTTCACAGACAGCATATACCTCTGACAACACATTCCTGGGTTACAGAAGAACCACAGAGCCTCAGGAGGCTGGACAAGTCCCTGCTCAGACTCAGCAAATCCTTTTGTAACTTTTGAAGCAGTAACATGAAAGTTGGCTACGCAGATGTTCACACATGCCGGAAACCACTTCACCAACCGACTGGAGGGAGCCAAGACCTTCACCTCTGACGGAAGTGACCAATCGTTTGCTTCCGGCAGAGACTAATACCTGATTCTCCTGAGGACCAAAGAGGAAATATTAAAACCGACAGCCCTTAGCTACCATCATCAACTGTATGTTAGTATCAACAGAGGGGAATAATTTCCTTCCTGACTCCCACTGGGTAAGTCGCGCCTAGAGCAGAAGGTGTGATTATCTAATCAAACAAAGCAAGTCCCAAGTGGGCAGACTGTAGCTTCTAGGGGATGTCTAAAAGCACTGAGACTTCCTCAGTCTTCAAATCTACTTCCTTGTACCTCCCACTGCCTAGAGCAAAAACAAATACAAAAAGTAATCATCTCAACGTCATCTCAACTTCAACCATCATCAATGGGCCAGGTTCCAGATCTAGCTGCTTTCCAAGATTGAGGACAAATTACTGCCCGTTAAGTCCTGGGGATGCTGGGGGTGCAGAGCTGGAAGGAAGGATACACACTGAGCATATATATGATGCACCAGGAATAGCACAGGGCACTGCATATTACATTGTGTTATGTTTCTTTATATTTAAGATCAGTATTTTTCTTTATAGTCACTATCTTATTTTTCTTTATATTCTTTGTATTTAAACAAAAGAAGAAAGCAACTGTAATGATCCATCATGTAAGGATCACACTTTAGAGTTTCCCAAACAGGTTGGCATCTATCAACCCACATGCTCTAAACAAACATGAGAGGTGAGCAGGAAATGATTATTATTTCTAATTCTCCAATCAGGGAAATGAAAGTGGAGGGATATTGTTTGCTAGGGTTCCATGTCTAATAACTGACAGGCCTTCTGATACCCCGTCCCACCATACTCACTGTATTCACAGACTTCTTAAGCCATACTGGTCCCAAAAGCCCATTTCTGTCCAGTCATTTGTTTCAGTCTCATAAAACCATGCAGTTCAGCCTCATCTGTGCTAGAATTCCTAAAGCTTTCCAACAGAGAACTAGCCAGTGCCTAAACACTCTCAGGAAAAGGGACAGTCACTGCCTTTAGATTTAGTCTTTCTCTCCATGAAAATGTACCATGCACCTACCATGTGCCAGAGATCCCACTAGCCTCTGGGCTACACACACGGGCAGGAGATACTGTCCCTCTTCTGACCATGTTTTATATTCTTAAAGGCCACTGTGATGTGTGCTCTGCATCCTGCCTTTTCTGGATCCATTCCAGTAAGAGTGGGACATCATTTCCGGTCCTCTCAGCACCATAGTGTGAAGAGGCCAGTTGGCTAGTGTCCCTTTCAGAGGAGGAAGCAAGGACTAAAGTCCACCAGCCTAGGAGAGTTCTGACAGGAGGGTAAAATAAGGTCCCCAGTCACCTACAAACGTTAGTCCTCTCTCTGCATCCTAACAGCACCCAGATATTCTCTTGAGGGACCACCTCTTCTCCACCATGGAGCTGCCATGAGTTTCCAGGCGACAGCGGGCAGCCAGTTCCCAACCCTGAGGGGAAACACCCTGTGGATGAAGCTGATACACACACGATGGCAGAGCGAGGGGCACGTCAGAGAAACAGAGCCCGGGGCCTGCTCACACCGAGCTTGAGGGCCACCCGACCTCGGGGCTTCCCGGCTTCTGACAGAGCCAGCCACCCAACTATCCTCTCCGAACCTCCGTCTGAGGCTGCATCAGTGCTTTGGAGGACAGAAACCACTGTTGGCTCATAATTAGCTTATGGACAACAGACCCTTCTGAGTTTCTTCCAACTCCCTTCTGGTAACGCACTGTCTCCCGTTCTGCCATTGCACACTAGAACTTTTGTTTGAACCCAAGTACAAGGCTTCGTATTCATCACAACTGAATTGGAAGCACTGGAAAAACTCAGGCGCTGGAGCAGAGAACAAAGATTTACATCTGATGCTCAAAGTGTCTGCTTGGGGAGAAACATTCCAGACCATGTTTGAAATGTTGCAGACTGAAATGAATGTTGAAGAGTCTAGTGGTTTCTAGCCTTTTATCTTATGTAGATCCATAGGTGCAAAGAAAGCCAGCCAGGTGTTCTTTTAAGATACATTGGTTAAGGAAAGAAAGAGTGACAAAATGTAACCATAAACTCAGCCTCACTTTTAAATGAAGTTAGGTTTTACTGATCACAACAGAATCCTCTCCCTCTTGAAAAACTAAGCCATAAACATGGCAAGACATACTATTTATTCAGTAAAAAGCCAGACGTGAGGTGTTTAGCGACTGGCCCTGGGAATGAGAGTACAGATTTAGAGTTCGAAATAGAAGTCTTGCCCCTAATCCCTCAGCTGTTTTCCTCAGATTCTTCTATAGCTCAGGATATGCCACATCATCAGTTCTTTTCTAGAATATGTTATACCTGCTATAAACACAGAGGAATTCCAAAACACAAGGGAAAGTTTACCTTACCTGCTCACCATTCCCCTTTCTGAGTGTATGCAACAGGATTAAAACTCAGATCCCCGTGGAAATGCTGCAGGCCCTTTAGGACAGGTACACACCCTTGTCTAAGGAAATGTAGCCTTTCCCACCACAAAGGGTTGATGTGAAAATATATGATCACAGAAGAAGCACCCTGTACAGGGGTGAGCAACAGCCACTTAAAACTACTACTTCCTTTCCTCACAAACACCCATAACACTGTTCACTGACTCTTTCTTGTTGTTCAATTTCAAGAATGCTCCCCTCCACACCAAAGGAGAAAGAAAGAAGCAGTGCAGTAATTGGCAACCCAAAATCGTAATTACTTCAAATTTTCTTCCAATTTCTCTTCTTGCCACCTTCCATAGGCTGAGTCCTGCCTTAGCTTTGCTGTCCATTTTATTAGCGTTATAATATCTTGCTGTTCATTGTCCATCATCAATAAAATCAACTCAAGAAAAAAAGGAAGAATATTTTTGTTCTTCTTAGTTCTTCCATCCTAGTTACCAGTGCCCATGATTTAAATGGAAACTGACTTTTAAAATTTATTAAAATATGCATATTGATTATAAAAGGAAAAAGTTCCTTTTTTGCACAGAACTCACCAGCTGAGGAAAAATATCTTCCCTCCAACGAATGCCCTGTAGAACAATGGCAGAAGCACTGAACTGGAATCAGGTGACTGGATCCCGTCCTCTGTTCTGTTTCCACAATGATCTCACCTGTAGAAATAAGACAAGGAGGTTAATTATGAATCTCGAGGATCTTACTAGCTGTAGAACTTCCCCAAGCTTATGAGCTTGCTGGGTAAACCATACTGGAAATGACACCAGGCTTGAAACCCACAAATTTAGTGGCTGATCTCTGTACCTCCTAAGCCACCAGTCAGCTCCTGGCACTTCTGTTTCACTAATATGTCTCAGAATGATGAAGAAAGAGAATGCTGGTACCCCGATGTTCATACCTCAACTTTGGGGGGAAGTGGGGGGATAGCTTCATCATAATGTCAAAAGTGAGAGAGACCAATTAGATACATTTTAGGCAAAAAAAATTAACAGCAAAATCTGAACTACAGTAAATAAAAAGAGAAAAAAAATATGAGTTTGGAGACAAATTTCTAACTATGGGATCTAGTAACTGCTGTGAACCTTAGTTTCATTGCCTGAAAAATGACGGTCAGTGGGCAGCAGAAGGTTGGACAATCTTGACGCTTCCTGGTAAGTCCTCACTACTTTATTTCATGAAGAACTAGTACTATTTTGTCAAGAATCCTGCAATATATATTGCAACAGACAAGTGTTCTAGGGTAGCAGATTGTTATAAAATGTAGATTCAGGGGAAATCCACATACCAGAAAAATGACTACTCCCATTTTCACTGCTGTCATTTTAAACATTATTGACCCAATCACACAATCGTCTTGTGAATATGATCTCATTCAAATACCTATACAAGCTCAAAGTTGAGAGGGACCTTAAAAATGACCCACTTCAACCTTTCCAACTGACAGGAGGAGAAACTGGGGAGGAGGGGCGAGGTGGCCACCCAAAAGCACAGTGAGAGGTAGGCAGCCCAAGGTTCCACTTTGGGGCCTGCTCCCCTGGACTGAGTTATGGCCACTTTAACGGAAGAAATGACTGACATTCGCTGGCCAGAGAGACCTGCCCTCGGCCACACAATCAGCTTTGAAGGATAACCAGGACTTATACACCCAGACCTCAGAACACCTGTTTAAAGCTCGTGCATACAGCCCGATAGCAAAAAAAAGAAAAAGAAAAAAACTAAGTTGAGAAAATGGAGTATCATCAAGGTAAGTCCAGCAAAGCTTGCATTTCCTGAGAACTAGCGGTCTTCATGGGCACTCGAATTGTCAAAGCCACCGAGGGATGGAGCACGAGGAGGCCAACAGATTGCCCTGTGGACAGCGCAGTCTCATAAAAACAAAAGATCCCACTCCAAGCCCCAGGAAACCTAAGCCTCTCCTTGCAGAGGGAGATATCAATCAGAACAGTTTCTACAACAGCAGCAAAGGGCAGCTGACTTCCCCAGATTGTCAAACTTTGCAGAAAGCTAAATCTCTCTACCATGGCCCTGGGGCAATGTCTCAGGCACTGGTTACCTTCTCTCCAAGCACAAATGAATGTGGCCCCCCTTTTCCCCAGTCAACTTCTCTTTCAATAATTTTTTCCTTCCTTTCCATAAAGAGAACAAGCAGTTTCGCAAAAGAACCGCTGTGAAATGATTGAAGTTCTCATGCAAACAAACCATTAGCAGAGTTCAAATGCAATTTAAATTACCAGTTGTTAAAGTGCTCCTCAATCTCTTCCTAAGTTTCCAAGGAGAATTACATACTATACACTATTTAATTGGTTGTTTTCTATTTTTTAACATCCATTTACCCCCCCCACCATTTTATATTTCAGAAGTGTCTATAAAAGCATCCCTTTAAAAAATTATACATTGTGGAATAGATTAAACCTAAAGATTGAAAAGTATCAGAGAAAACAGCTGCAGGATTACGCAGCTCAGCAGAAATTGATGGTTTTGACACCACAAGACATGCAGAGTTTCAAAATCTTAAGAATCACCTGATGGTGTCCTCACTGTTTACAGATGAAGACACTGAAGCCCCAAAGGAAAGGAAGGCTTGGCCCAAGTTTTCTCACTGGTCAGTGACAGATTCCAAGTGAGAACTCCCTACTTCCCAGCCCAGTGCTGTCACTTCCCACCACCATATGTTAGAGGAGATGATGGGAAATGCTCAACAAATTTAATTTCCACCTGCAATATTTTTCTTAAAGAAAATATGAAGTCATCTTCAAATACACTACTGACCTCAAAAGTGGAGCTGGCCCATGGCAAGTATCTTCCCAAAAGGGAGAAAGAGAAGCAAAGCCTGACGAATGACTCAGAGGAGCTTCAAGTGAACAGATTTCTGGCAGGAAAAGTCAAGATCCTCTTCTAGATTCACCAAATCAGTTATGGGACACCAAGACTGCAAAATTCCACTGCTTTATCTGGCCCAGAACTTGTGAAATGAGAGGATAAAGGCAGATCTTGCCACATCTGTAAATGGAAAGGATTTTAGAGCCCATCACAAGGACAGGGCGAACTTCAAGGCTTTGATATTGGACATGTGCAAAGTATTCAACCTCCCTGAGCTCAAGCTTTCCTGTTTGCAAAATGGGTCTAATACACCTACCCATCAAGGTGTATGCAACCATTTCTTGGGGTTCCATACCCAGCATGCAAAGCACAGTCTGCACACAGTGCACCTTAACCAATGTTCATCCTCATCTTCCAGAGTCTATCTACAACTTCTCAAAGCCTATGATTCTGTGGTTCTAATTTATGAGAACTGCAACTGAGTCTTATAAACCATGTATGCTTCCTAAGTCTGTTAGATGCTGGGTGTTCCCTGACTATAAATTCATTTATTTTGTCATCCAAAAATAAAACACATACCTGAAAACATAAATAGCCAAATGTTTTCTACCAAAAGCAAACTCTTCGGAACAGTTATCTAAGATGGCCTTCAAATTCAGTTGATGAGCCAGACAGTAGTAAAAACCTCAGTTTAATGCCCAAGACCTCATTTAAACTGTCCATCAGCCCTGTAAGAAAGATTTTCTATTGTCCACTGAGGAAACTAAGGGTCAAGAAGTCAGGCAACTTTCCAAGATTTGGGGGCTAGTAAATGGTAAAGCTGGAATTTGACCTCAAGTCTTCAAAGTCAAGCTCCACGACCAGGGTTTTATTATTTTGCAGTTAAAACTATACTATGGACAGCTATTCTGCTAGAGGCAAAAATATACCTGGGAAAAATAATCCGCTATGTTCACATTTTAAGGAGCTTTGGGATAAAAAGCAAAGTCTGAACTTTTAAACAGAAAAAAGTTCACCTTAAAAGCAAGTAGATCTTTCTTGAATGCCACCTCGCTGTTATTATTTTTTTCTAATTGAAGTAGAGTTGATTTACAATGTGGTGTTAATTTCTGCTGTACAACAAAAGTGATTTAGATATATACCTACATATATATGTGTGGGCATTCTTGTTCATATCCTTTTCCAGTATGGTTTATCACAGGATATTAAATATAGTTCCCTATGCTATGCAGTAGGGCTTTCCTGCTTATCCATTCTCTATACAATAGTTTGCATCTGCTAATTCCAAATTTCCAGTCCATCCCTCCTCCACCTCCCCTTCCTCTTGGCAACCACAAGTCTGTTGTCTATGTCTCGGAGTCTGTTTCTGTTTTGTAGATAAGTTCATCTGTGTCATATTTTAGATTCCACGTGCAAGTGATAGCCTAAGATATCTGTCTTTCTCTTTCTGATTTACTTCACTTAGTATAATAATCTTTAGGTCCATCCATGTTGCTGCAAATGGCATTATTTCATTCCTTTCTATGGCTGAGTAATATTCTATTTTATACATATACATCGTCTTCTTTATTCACTCGTCTGTTCATGGACATTTAGATTGTTGATATGTCAAGGCTATCACAAATAGTGCCTCTATGAACACAGGGAGGCATGTAACTTTTCGAATTATACTTCTGTCTGAACACACACCCACAAAATTATACTTTGGTCCAAACATGTGATTTCTGGATCATATGGAGAAAAGGGAACCCTCCTACATTTTGGTGCAAATGTAAATTGGAAAGCCTCTATGGAAAACAGTATGAAGGTTCCTCAGAAAACCAACAACAGAGTTGCCATATGATCTTGCTGCTATGTTCTTACATGAAATAAAAAGTTCAGAGTGCTAAGTTCAGAGCACCAGGAAGGCATCTGCCAGCTATGTGGGAAGCAGGCCAGAGAAAGGTTAAGAGTGAGCTGATACCAGAGTGACTCAAAAACAGAATTCAAATGTCTGGGCTCATGATGAAACAAATCACAGGTAATCCTAGTATGAGCTTCTGAACACACACCCCCACCCCCACTCCTGGCACAACCGTGAACTGCCACGATGTCAGACGCCCTGTGCTCTGAGGTGCATGAAGCAGACATTCACTGGCACCTCCTGCCCTGGAGGCATGTGTATGGGCTCTGCAGAGGTGGGCGCTGCGCTGGACCTGCCTTGAGCTCTCAAAGGGGTCACAGAGGACACACTCCCCCATGACAAGATGGTAGGAAAAGTGTGCAAAGTACCAGTACCCGCGGGTGTCCTTTGGAATGTCAGGAAGAGCCCTGCTGATGATGACTTCTAAACTGAGCCTGAACACCCAAGAGGATGTCCACGTATGAGGAGGAGGGAAATCAGCCCAAGGAACACGATGTGCTAAGGCCTTGAGGAGAGGAGCTCAGGGTGTTCTCGGGGAAAGTGACTAATCTGGTGAGGCCAGTGGCAGAAAACACGGAGGGAAGCGGTGGGGCATGAGGCTGGAAAGGAATGTTGTGGCCAGAACATGGAAGACCTTGTGTGTCAGGCTCTTGATGCTCACAGCTACTGCATTTTGAAAAATGACACATGAGAAAGTGCAATGGTAGAGCTATTGGAACCCAATCCCCTCCATGGTCAGCTTCCAGACATAGCACGGCCAGGAGGGTCTGAGAGAAAGCCTCCTGGGGCAGGACTGCTGCTCTGTGGGCCCACCCCGGGAGTCAGAGCAGCAGGCAGCCCTTCGTGTTGCCCCAAATCCACACCTCCATCCACCCCTTCCTCTAGTACAGAATGCTCACCCATGGAAAACCCGGAAAAGAAACCAAGTCTCATGCTCTAAACAGGATTTCCACTCTGCCTTCAGGGAAATGACAACGCTATCCAATTTGATGAATCAGAAGAACACAGGCTAAATGCAAGCTCAAGCCTCTTTCCTGTCACTCAAGAAGCAGGAGGCAGAAGTCTATCCAGCACGTATTGTGTGTGCTCGAAGCACCACATCATAGAGCTCCTGGCCAGTCCTGGCACCACTTCACCGGGGCCTACATATGAGCCTGAACTGACACTATTGTGATGTTAATGGAATCCTTTCTCTTAAAGGCGACCTTACAGCAGGTCCCATATGGCAAGGGCACAGGCAAGGCGTAATTCCCTTCCTGCCCTTAAACAGCTCCCAGTCTAGAAAGAGAGATAAAACACAAACTACATGATGATGGGTGCCATAGCAGAAGCACAGATAACAATACAAATCCTGCAAACAACACTGGGTTGCCGTGATTACTTGCACAGACTTGACAGATGAGGAAACTTAGCAGCTTAACTGACCTAACAGATCACACAGCTAGGAAGCATCACAGCAAGATTCAAACCCAGATCCCATGCTTGTAAGTGTCACATGGCTATACTTTACTGCCTCAGAGCCCACTGTGTTGTAAGTCAGCAAAACAGAGAACAGAGACCAATTCTGGGGGAGAATGGATGGCGGGAAGTGGGCAGTGATCAGAGGTTACTTCACTCAGAAGGTGAAGTATCCACTCAGAAGGTGGTATGTGTGCAGAAGTTTATAGGAGGAGCAGGAGTCATAGGGATGAAGATGGGAGAGGTCAGCTCAAGCAAAAGGAACAGCATGAGTTACGGCAGAAGGTGACGAAATGAGTGATTGGGAGAATCACGGGTGCTCACAATGAGCAGGTACTGCTGCCTGATTATGGGCACCTGGGGTAGAAGTTTTCACTTAAATGCCAAAAATACTAGGAAAATGTTATGAATAACAAAATAAGTGAATTTAAAGTCGGGAAACATACAGCTGAGTATAGAAGAAAAACAATAAATGTTTCAAAGCAGGACTGTGGTGTGGTCTCAGCTTTCCTTGGGATTCTACGCTTTAATGCGAAGGCCATGCATTAACCTTTCAAGACCTGAGCCAGGGTCAGGAATAATGGGCCTTCAGGTCCTTTGAGGTCAATGTATAGAAGGACACCAGACCCTCTGGAGGTTAGGACTTCTATACCTATCTCACGGATTCTGACCTTTTAGAGAAGAGCTTCTACAATCACTAAATGAATTTCAAGCCCTCACTGGAACAAAGTAACCCCAGCCCCAGCCTCAATTGGTAAAAAGAGCATGGAAAACAAGATAGAAGATACAGAATCAAAAAATCTTACACCTGATGTTTCGATTCTCCACTAATAACTATGGAATCCTGAGCAAGTCACCTCCTTTTAACAAAGACACATTCTCATTCATAAAATGGAAATGACCATACTTATTAATACATAGGTAGGGAGCATCCACAAGGGATCTGTGAGATTAAACATAAGGACAAGTGTTTCTACATGTGAGGTGACATGTTGAGAAGAGTGCTCCCCTGAAAACCACCACATTGACAGCAATAGTACAAGAACTGCCCAATTCGCCTGGTGAAGTATCTAAATCTAGACTTGTCAACAATTTCCCCCCCATAGAAAATTGAGCTGTATTCCTGAGGCAAATCATTACATCTTTTTGTGCCAAATTGTTTTCATCTTTTAAATGACCCAGTAATCCCACTTTGGGCAATATACATAAGGGAATAATCCAAAAGGAAAAAAGAAGGCAATTTGTTCAGAGATGTTATTCATGGTGCTATTTCTAGCTCTTTATATATCCCTCTATTATAGCACTTATCTCACTGTGTTGTAATTATCCACTCCCAAATGCCTCCAAATTATCTCTGAATCCATCCCCAGCACCTAGCACAATGCCTGGCATACAGTAAGAACTCAATAAATGTTTGGTGACTAAATGAATGGGTAATATGAGAGAAATTTTCAAAGGAACTGAAGTGAGCAAAAACAAAACATTGTTTCTAAGAGATGTTGTTAAAAAAAAGTTTACCAAAAGAAAAAAAAAAATTAAAAAGCCCTGATAACTATAGACTGCAAACTTTGAAGAGGAGTTTATGAAGCTTCAGGAATGAATTTCAGGTGATTTTGTCTATGATCTCTGAGCATCTCCAGGCTTAGGCAGAGTGCAGTGTAGGATCACCATGAGACACATACTAGGTCATTTTGGCCTCGTGGATTCCCTGTGGGACTCAGCCTCTACCTTACACTGACTACATCACCTAACTTCTCTGAGACAAGTTTCTCCACTGAAAACTAGAGTATTTACAGGAAAGTCCAGCCCATTAAGAGGAATTACAGGGAAGAGGCAAGGGCCAGCAAGTGTGAATTCAAATGTAAATAAAAGAAAAGGGCTGGGGCTGCCCATAGACCAGGGTCCCCAAGGCAAAGCAGGCTTTGAAGCGCCAGGTCTTCCGGGCTGCCACCAAACCTTCTCAATCCATCTGACAGGGCGGCTGAAGGCGCCTGACCACAGAGTTTATAGGATGCAGTAGTCTCTGCAAGAACAGAGAACGCATCAAAGGAAAACACTACGTTAAATATGGCCCATAAAGTCAACATCACTCTGGATGTTCCCTATTCTTGGTGGGAAAGAATGCTTTGTACAAATACCCAGAGACAGCAAAGGAAGCATCATGTTCTGCCGGGCTCACTGTGGGGCGTTCCCGCAGCTCTCAGCCAGGAAGTCAGAGGCAGGAAGCCACTGCCCTCCAGTCCTTGGCCAGAAGCTCCCAGCTAGACAGCAGAGCAGGGAGCACTCAGAGCCTCCTAGTCCAAACCAGCTGCCAGGCTGTGAACCCCTACGGTGCCTCCGTGGGGGTCTCTCAGATTCCTGCCACTTGAACCTGATATTTCTCTGGAGGAGACTGGTCTTGACATCCTGGAGATGATCCCGCGGAAGCATGTCCTGAGCAAATCTGCTCGTTTCTCTCTGGTCCCACTCAGACGGCCCTAATCACTGTGACTCTGGGCTGTGGCTCGCTTCTACTCCTGGCAATGCACTTCCCCCACGGCAGCTAGAGCGATGCTGGTAAATGTAACTCGGATGCCTTCTAGCACTCGACTCAGATCCAAGCCCCTTCTCGAGCTCACTGCCACATCCCAGACCCTGCCTCACCCTCATCCCATGCTTCCCCAATGCAGCCCACCCTCCTAGCACACTGGGCTCCTCTGATGCTCAAATACAAACTCATTCCCGCTCCACGGACCTGATATTGGCCCTGCCCTCTGCCTATAACGCTCTCCCCCACTGACTTGCCCATGGCTGGCTCCCTGGCATTCAGAGCTCAACTTAAACATCATCCCCTCCTCCGCTCCCTCACAGGCAGGGCATCCTCTGTGAACCCTCCTCAGAGTTACTTATCATTCTCTGCTGTTTACATCTTCATCTATCATCTACCTCCTCCACATATCTCTCTAGAATGTAAGTTCCAAGGGATCGTTGTTTTGTGTCTTTTTCTTCATTCAAACCCACTACTGGATCCATGCCCAGAACAGTATGAGGCACATAAGTGGGAACCCTATAAAGATTTAATACAATTTGATGAATGTAGATGAATGCATGCCACAGATGACAGAAACCTTAAAGGCTGCTTAAAGGCAGTAGTCCAGTACTGTGGCTAACATTCTGGATCACTGATGCTTGCACTTAGGAGATACAGGAGTTTAGGTGAACCTTCCCACTTCTCTAGCCCTTATTTTTCTAAAGTAAAAATGGCACAACAGCACCTGCCTTGTGGGAGTACTGGGAGAACAAAAGGAGATAAACCATGCAGAGTGCCTTGTGCAGAAGAAACCTTTGCTGTCATCAACTGCAGCCCCATCTTCCAGGAAGGAAAATTGAGATTCAGAAAGGTGCATGCATCTTCGCCCAAGTTAGACACTGAATCAGAAGCAGAGTCAGGTGAGAAGATCCCACCTTTAGTGTCTTTCCATAAAAATAACAAAAATACCTGATAACATGTCGCTCATTTATATATTCTGCCTTGTTCCAGAAAGAATCTGAACTACCTGACAAAAGATGTACATAGCTCATGATTTTTTTTTTTTTAAGTAAGAAAACTGGGAAGGGAGATGGAAAAATAAAGTTAAGGAAAAGTACAAGGGTTACAAAGGTAAGGGCCATACGTCTCATACCATTTGCTAGAGGGAGGCTTTGCATGTGGCTCTAAGTTACCCGGAGGCCAATATAAACCAGAGGAAAATATCTGTGTACATATGGTCCCTGGGAATACGTGGTTACTGAAATGTCACAGCACTGTGTGAGAAGGTATTGCCATCTAGGAGAGAATCACCCTGGTTTTTCATACTCTTGCCAGCTGAATTCTACTAACTGCTTCCTCCTGGTCACATGCACTCTGAAGCCACACGACCTGGGTTCAAATCCCAGCTCCACTACTGACTGAGTGATGCTGGGCAACTTACTTATTAAACCCTCAAAGTCTCAGGTTCTTCCACTATAAAACTGAGGTCAGTAATAACAACTACATGGATAAATGAAATGTGCTGAATATATACAACTTATTACTACTCAGCCCTAAAAAGGAAGGACATGATGACACATGCTACAATATGAGTGAATCCTGAAGATATTATGCTGTGTGAAATAAGCCAGTCACAAAAGGACAAATACTGTATGATTCCACGTCTGCAAAGATACCTAGAGAAGTCAAATCCATGGAGACAAAGAACATAAGGATGGTTGTCAGGAGCTGGGGGAGGGGAGAATGAAAAGTAAATGTTTAATGGATACAAAGTTTCAGCCCGCAAGATAAAAAGCATTCTGGAGACTGATTGACCAAGTGACTATACTGAACACTACTGAGCTGTACACTTAAAAAATGGTCAAGACAGTAAAAACGGTTACGTGTATTCTACCAAAGTCAAAAGCAATTAAAGACTTAATACCAACTCAATCACTTGGCTGTACAGTAGAAATTAACACAACACTGTAAAACAACTATATTTCAATGAGATAAATGTTTTTAAAAATAAATAAATATATACCCAAAAAAGAGTACCTACTCACAGGTAGCTATAGTGGAGAACCAATGTCGGTCAGGTGCTCAGCCTGGTGCTCGGCACCCAGAGAGCAGTCAGT